GCAGTACTTAACCACAGAGATTTAGTATTCAGAACAAGAACGTAGTGGAGGAAAAATACAGTTTAGAGAGAATGAACTGAGTGGGTGGAAATGCTCTTTGTCTCCTCTCTGCTTTCTCTTTGCCTCTCAAATAAATAATTTTTTAAAAATGGGCCCAGCACAATAGCCTAGTGGCTAAAGTCCTCACCTTGCATGTGCCAGGATCCCATTATGAGTGCCAGTTCTAATCCCAGCAGCCCCGCTTCCCATCCAGCTCCCTGCCTGTGGCCTGGGAAAGCCTTGGGACCCTACACCTGCGTGGGAGACCCAGAAGATGCTCCTGGCTCATGGCTTCGGAGTAGCTCAGCACCAATCGTTGTGGCCGCTTGGGGAGTGAACTAGCGGACAGAAGATCTACCTCTTTGTCTCTCCTCCTCTCTACATATCTGACTGTCCAATAAAAATAAATCTTTAAAATGATTTTTATTATTTTTATTGGAAAGGCAGGTTTTACAGAGAGAAGAAGAAACAGGGAGAAAGATCTTCCATCAGCTGCTTCACTGTCCATATGGCCACAATGGCCAGAACTGAGCTGATCCCAAGCCACGAGCCAGGAGCTTCTTTCAGATCTGCTATATGGGTCCCAAGGCTTCGGACCATCCTCTGTTGCCACAAGCAGGGAGCTGGATGGGAAGTGGAGCAGCTAGGACACAAACTGGCACCCATATGAGATTCTGGCATGCGCAAGTCGAGGATTTGGCTACTGAGCCATTGAACCAGGCCCCATGATTTATCTTTTTTTTTTTTTTTGAAGAAAAGATTTCTTTATTTTACTTGAAAGAGTTACATAGAGAAAGGGAGAGACAGAGACAGAGGGGGAAAGGCAGAGACCAAGATCTTCCATCCACTGGTTCATTCACTTAGACAGCAACAACAGCCATAGCTGAGCCAATTCAAAGTCAGGAGCTTATTCCAGGTCTTCCATGCACATGCAGGGACCCAAGGCTTTGGGCCATCCTCTGCTGCTTTCCCAGGCCATTTTCAGGGATCTAGGTTGGAAGAGGAGCAGCCGGGACTAGAACCGGCACCCATATGGGATGCTGGCACTTCAGATCGAGGACTAGCCAATTGAGCCACTGCACTGGCTCCATGAACATACTTTATCTGAGCCTCTAAATTTTTCAGCTGACATGTCTGACAGAGCCAAGTATTGATCAGAACGTGCAAGTTATGGGGACAATCATGCGAGATGCTAAAATGGGAAGGGTCCTTTGGGAAATAATTTAAAATCATTGTGTAAGACTGGGAATTTGGCATCTGTGCCGCCAACAAGTGATTTCAGCCTGAGACTTACCTCTAAAACTTAATTTTTCAAACCGCTGTGTGTGACCCATTCAATGGCCTTGCTGTTTTACTATTTTAAAAAGGAAACAGTAGAACGTGGGAGTCTTTTGTCCATTGTAAAGGTCATGACTTTCTGTTGTTTCTGGAATAAGTGAATGCATGGGCTGGTTTGGAATGCGAAATGGATTTCTCAAGAAAACGGCAGTCAAAAGGATGGAGGCCCAGTGCCCTCAGAATTCTTGGGTGTGTGTCCTGGGCACATTGCACAGAAATGTTCCAGAGCTGCGTTATCGACAATAGCCCAAACTGGGGAGATGGGGTGGGGGAGCCAACCAGATGTGTATCCACCACCAGGAGGATGGAGGGGATTGTGTGATGACGCCGCTGCCTAGGCCACTGCTTGCAGCCCTGGGTCCTAGAGCACTGGTTCGAGTCCCAGCTGCCCTGATTCCTATCCGGCTTCCAGCTAATGAGGCTGGAAAGGGAGTAAATGACAGCCCAAGTACCTGGGCACCTGCCACCCACGTGAGAGACCCAGGTGGAGGACCAGGCTTCTGGTTCTTGGGGAATGTCACTCTGCCGTTCAAGCAAATAGATAAATGTACCTTTTAGAAGTAGGTAATCATTTATCTGTACAGTGAGCTGTTACCCAGCACTGCAACTGAATGGGCAATGGCAGTATGTAATACTCTGGCTCAATCTTAGACGTAATGTTGAAAAAAATGCTCCAGAAGATTGTAAACAATGTAATGTCATAATTATAAGGCTAGAAGAATCTATACTAAATAGCATATTATTTAGACATCTATAAGTGCTAAGGATATTTTTTAAAGAACATGGTGTTCAAGGATATGCATACAGTGGACCATTATTCAGCCATAAAAAGGAGAACAGTATATGTTTTTTTTCTTTTAAAAATATTTTTTATTTACTGAGGTATATGTAGCATAAAATCTGCCATGTTTAACCATCTATAAGTAGCATTAGGTACACTCAATAGAGTGGTGCAATTCACCTCCACCCATTACCCAGACTATTTTTCATCTTGTACATTGAAGTTCTGTCCTATCTTCTTATATATATATTTTATTTTGAATTTTTTAATTATGTGGTACAGTTTTTGTATTGACTTGGATTCCCCCAACAAACTCCCACCCCCAGACAGAATTTTCCCCATTTTGCTACAATGGTATAGTCCTTCATAAGGAATCATAATTCCATCAGTCTCTTACTTAAGTGTACCCCAACATTACTGGTACAGACAGTGTCAGACAATCCCACATCCCATTGTCTACACATTTCCAACAGTTTCATTGGGAGTCCATCCCTTGCCTGGAAGCAGGGATGCATGTTGCACTGTACCCCCACATCTGGATATGGTACACCCCAGTACTCCATCACTATACATTTCCATAAATGAGAAGCCATGAAGTGAGGTCAACAACTGGTATGAGTTAGAACAACAGCCACAACAACCACAACAGATTACAGCACCATGAAAAACACACCACTGAGTAACCAACGTATGGATGACAAAAAGGAAACACAAAAGACCCTTGGAAAAAATGATGTCACCATGTAATCCATGAGCTGGCAATGAATTCAACAAGAGAGAAGAAATTATTTGGAATAAATAAAGCTGAAATTAAAAAATTTTTAAAAGCATGGGATGCAGCAAAGCAAACCAACAAAACCCAGTATGGACTGGATTATTGAAATTACACTTTCCATGCTGGTTTCCTTATATAAGAGAGAGCATATAGTATTTGAAAACAGCACATGTTATACATGCTACAACACAGACTAACCCTGAAACACTAACCCTGACACGGTGTGGGTGAAGCATCTGCAGTGAGCAAGCCCACAGAGCCACAATCTGGACTGGTGGCTGTCGGGATTCATGAATGGGCAATGAGAAGGGATGATAGGAAGTGTCGGGAGCTTGGATGGTGAGGGTTGCATGACTTTATGAATACATGGAAAAGAAAGCGATCAGTGCACTTTTTGGGGGTGACACAGAGGCAAGAGCGCCAGTAGGTGAGACATGCCTTCCCAGCCTGTGTTCAGGTGCTCACTGCGGTGTCCTTGGCCATGAGTGCAGGGTTGTGCAGCAGATCTAGAACTTACATCTTGCAAATGGAAATGTTACGCCTGCCAATGAAGAGATGAGGAGCCAGGAATGATTTTATACATTCGTGTGTTCAGGATACTGCTTGCCTCTGGGAAGGAGACCACCAGCATGCCACTTGTTCATGGGTGTTAGAAAGTCAGAGTTACAGAGAGAGGGGAGACACAGAGAGATCTTCGAAATGCTGGCTCACTCACCAGGAGGCCACAGCAGGCAGCACCAGCCAGGCTGGAGCCAGGAGCTTCATCTGGGTCTCCCATATGGACCATCCTCCACTGCTTTTCCAGACCACTATCAGGCAGCTGGATCAGAAGTGGAGCAGCCAGCCATGTCATAAAATGACACCCATTTGGAATGCAGGTGTTGCAGGGAGCAGCTTTCTGCACTTATGCCACAAGCTTTCCCGACATACATCCACATAGGACACAAACTGTCAACTTTAGAAAACGTATAAGTATGAAGTCAGCATAGGAGGTAAATTACTGCCCTTTGACAAAGCCTCAGTCTGATTCCATGGGCACCGTAGGAAGCCCTGGATGCAGTTATTCTGACCCCTGCTGGCTGAGAGATGAAGTGCAACTGGGGCTGCTTGCTCAGGGAGCATCCTAGGAGGTGGCCGCTGGACATGTGGTGCCTCTGCCAGTCTCACCCTATGTGAAAGGGAGCGTACAGACATGAGCTTTCTGGATATGTGTTCCTTTGGCTTCTATGACTCTTGACCTCCATCCTTTAAGCCCAAGAGTGGTGTGTGGTTCTACTGAAATTTAACCCTGAGTGAGACCAACTAACCCTGCCTTCTGCACACCCCAGAGACCAGGACTCCAGGAGTCCCTGAGCAGCGCTAGCATCTTCTAGGGCAGGAGGGCCAGGGAGTGGATTCTCATGCTGAATCTGTCTATGCAGACTCCTGGGAGGAGTGCGGGTGCACCTGTGAGAGCTGGCTTGAGCATGCAGAAGGGCCACTTGGGGCACATGTGGCATGTAGAGGTTCCCATGGAGCATCCAGTTGGCAGCATGGTCCCTGCCCATCCAGCAGGCTGGGCCAGGGGCCTGTGGTTTAATCTGATCTCCAAAGGAATCTCTCATGAGCAGGGGTGGTGCTGGTGGTTTGGTGCCAGCCCAAAGACTCCTCATCAGAATGAACTGGAACTGGCCCCGGGAAGAGTTAGTCTGGACTGAGATTATCCCCAACATCCTTCTGATTCTAGCGCTTAGGTCCTAGAGGCTGTGTGGTAGGGAGATGAGAGAGGGGTTTAAGACCTTGGCTCTGTACCTGCACTGGGATGAGACCACAGGCCTCTGGGAGTGTGTAGCCCTTGGCTGCGGCATGCGGTGATCCCGCAGCCTGCCAGCCCAGGGTCCTGTTCCCTGTGTACTAGCTACACGGGTGCAGAGCTTTCTGTAGGCAACTGGATCACATCAGATCTCCTGCCCAGGGTGTTTGAACTCAGGCCCACCAGGAGAATTCAGGGTAGAACACTCAGGAAGGCTGATGGCTGGGTTGAAGCCTCCTCCCGAAGGTGTTGTGTGTTCCTCTCTCTATCCACAGACACCATGGAGGTGGTGCTCATCTTCCTGTGTGGCCTGCTGGCCCCACATCTGGTTCTGGCCAGTGGTAAGTGCCTTCCGTTCCCCTGTCCCCAACCCTGCTCCCAGGACCTGACAGAAAGAGGTAGGGGTTCAGGTTCTTCCTGTCTTAAGTTGACAGAGAAAGTCCTGGAAGGAGGCAGCTGTTCACAGATCCCACATGCCCACTTTTCCCCACAGGGGCCCAGCAGGGGTTGCTTTGGGACCTGTTAGGCCCTCCTGCCCTTTCGGCTTTGAGTCTTGGGGGGATCAGGATTGCATACCTGAGTCTAGTCCATATCATATAGGATGGTGTTTATGGTATTAATTCCTAACTTGGTCCCAGTGTCCCCATCTGTCCCCAGAGGTTGTAGCACCTTCCTCTTTGAGATGATGCTGGAATACGAATGAGCCATCAATGTACCTGTGCCGTGGGCAGTGACCTTGCCAGGCCTTGGAGCACCTGCCTGCCCTTGGCCTTCAGGTTGAGCCGCATCTGTGGGCAGGTCTGCCCCCTCCCTGCGTCTTCAGGGGGGAGTCTCAGTGGGGACTGAGATGAGCAAGGCCAGAGCAGAGAGCTGGGAGCCAGGGCATGGCGCCAGCTCCCTCCTGACCACGTCTGCTTGTGTTCACAGCAGCTGAGAAGGAGAAGGAGAAGGACCCTTTCCACTACGGTGAGTGGTGACAGTGACCCTGGGGGCTGCCGGTGGCTGGCTCTGTCCTGGGGGAGGGAGGCAAATGTGCTGGCGTGGCCTTTGCCCAGCTCCATCATTCACCCTCTCCCCATGCCTTCCACAGACTACCAGACCCTGAGGATTGGGGGATTGGTGTTCGCTGTCGTCCTTTTCTCTGTGGGGATCCTGCTTATCCTAAGTGAGTATGTGTCCCCCTGTCCATCAAGGCTGCCAGTAAGCAGGGAGGAGGGACACCGCATGCAAGCCCAGCCCCCTCCGTACAGTGCTGGGCACTTAATCAGTGCTTAGTATGACAGGAAGGCAGGAACAGGAGCAGTGAAAACATGCTGGGAGGAGAAGTGGCAGAGTGGCTGTCCTGGGGCTGGAGCCATGATGGGAGGTGGGAAACAAGTGCCTGGAGAGTGGCTACACATGGGTGTGCATGCAACACACTACACAGATCCCATAGGGATGTCCACCTGCATGGCCCCAGGACAGCCCCTGCCATGGCCAGGCTGGGAGCATGGACTCCAGTGCCTGTTGTGAGCCTCACCTTGGATGCCTTCTTTGCCTCGCAGGTCGCAGGTGCAAGTGTGGTTTCAGTCAGAAGCCCAGGTAAGGATGGTGTGGCCATGAACATGGGGCGGGGGCAGCCCTTGATCTCTGGTCTTAGAAAGGGCATGTGTGTGTGTGAGCGTGCACACACATGCACACACATGCTGGGGGTGTGGAACAGAGGAGAGGTTGGAATCTCGGGGGCTGCCACATCCCTCTCTTGCGGATGTCTGTGAGGGGAGGAGGGAGGGTAAGAATGTGCCAGAACCTTCTCTGGGGGTCCTTGGCACAGTTGGGCTGGGGAGAAGGGATGACGAAGGCACTATGTCCCCTTCTGATGTCCAGCTCCTATCAGCAGCATCTGAGATGCTGTCCTCACTTGCCCCACTATCTTGAAGTTTTCCTAAGGTACTCTTGGCCTCCCTTTCTATCCCCCCAACACACAAAGGTCTCACCCCATTGACCCACCTATGAGTGCCCTGTGCCTCTGTCCCATTCGGTCCAGGTTTCTCTCTGCATCCCCAATGGAGAATACTGGGGGCAGCTTGGAGCCCCTGGAGCCACATGCTAGTGGCCCTGGCCAGCAGGGGGCGTGGGGAGCTGTGGGTTTGCACTGGACATGCCACCTCTTTTTCCTGCAGGGGCCCCGGGGATGAGGAAGCGCAGGCGGAGACCCTCATCACTGCCAATGGTAACTATTCCTGACCTCCCTCCTGGGTGAAAGACTGGGGGCAGCAGGGGTCCTTCTGGGGGTGAGGGAGCAACTGAGGCCCAGTCCTAGGGCCTCCTTTGAACTGGCCAGTGGTGCCCCATCGTGCCAGGTGTGGGCTACCTAGGGCCTATGCAGCACCTGTCACCACAACCACGCAGGCCACTGTTGCCGGGCCACGGGAGGGAGGACTTGGAACACACAGGTTTCCAGCCCAGGGGTTCAACAAGGCTAGGGAGCTTGCCCTGAGCTCCTGTATGCAGCCAGCAGTGGAGTGAGGATGCGATTGAGACCTCGCTGGTTGTGTTTAGCTGTCGGGGATTGGGACGGCTGCAGGGCTGAGGGCTACGCTCACTGCAGTGCCTGCTCCTTTTTTTTTTTTTTTTTTTTTTTTTCCTTTGCAGCCACCGAGCCCCAGAAGGCAGAGAACTGAGGTGCAGCCCCCAGGCAGGGAGGTGAGCTGCCGTCTGCATCACCATCGTGGTACACATGGGCTGGGTGGAGGATAGGGGGGACTAGCCTCTGCAGCCTTTATTGTGCACCTGCTCTGAGGGACCTTTGGGAGTGAGGGACAGTGAGGCAAACCAAGGGCAGGGACACTGAGTCAGTGTTCACCTAGCCCGAGGTCAGCTCAGCCAGGCCCCTTCCCAGCCTCCTCGTGAGTGTGGCCAGGCAGGGAACTACAGCAGTTGGTGAGATGCTGCCGGCGTCCCGACAGCCTGGATGACTCTGTCATGAATCAGCAAGGACCTTCTGGAAAGCCACTTTAAAAAAAATTCATGAAATTTCCAAGCCTTCACAGAACTGGGGCCCGGGTTAATGACATCCTCTACCATACCAGTGTTCCAGTGCTGGGGCGAGGGGTCCTGATTTGAGGATTCATTTACATGGTGCACCTGTAGGGAGCACCAGAGTCACTGCACCAAAGCGATGCCCTTCCCAGGCTCCCACCTAGCCTGCCAAAAGAAGCAGCAGGTGGGACCACGGGGGTCAGGCCTGTGCTGTGGATGCAGAAACCGAGATCAGAGAGCATAGTCATGCAGACATAGGCAACAGGCTGGACTCTGACATTGGATGCCACTTCCATGACGACTGCTGTCCTGCTGGTACCCGCTCTCAGAAACTCAATGAACCCTGCAGGGGGAGTGGGAGGAGCTGCTCCCCCATCAGCTGGCTTCCATACGTGTGAGGAGTGATGGCACACAGCTTCATGCTCAGTCATCTGGGACATCAGATGGAGGACACACAGGCCGTCCCTGTGATTCTGAGACCTCAGGGTGCCTGAGTAGCACTTGAACCCTTTTCCAAGGGCCTCTGCATCCTGACCGTCTGCAGGTGGGCAGAGCAGGGTTCAAGAGATCCATTGTCTCGGCAGAGTTCCCCAAGGTGAATAGTGGATTCAGCTTGAGAGGATTGTGGGTCGTAGTCTAGCAGCTGGATGCCATCTGGTAGCTTGCTGTCTTATCTGCTGGTCTCTCCCAGAATCCTTCTCTCTCAGAAGGACTGGGGGCATTGCTGAGGGTGTCCCCAGTGTGACCGTGTCCTTGTCATTGCCACCGTGAGTGAGCCTTAGGCTCTCCCCTCCCTTCTCTGCATCCCAGGCCTGTCCTTCTTGCTTAGCTGTGGACTTGGGGCTTGGAAAGGCCCTTGATCCACAGGCCCTGGAGGCACCCAGCTGTGTCCTAACTGCGGTCCTCTTGCTCTCAGCCTCTGCCACCTGCAGGTGGCTGCCCGGACCTTGATGTGGATGCTCCAGAGAAACAACCAATTGGGTAGCAGACCATCCCCCCAGGAGAAGCTGAGAAATCGTGTGTGCCCCGCTCCCTGCCCACTCTCACATCTGCATAACGATGCTGCCTCCACCGGCCTCCTGACCTGTCCTCTCCTGTGACGTGTCCGTGTGTCTGTGTGTGTTTGCTCACCGTGGTCTCGTAGCTGCTTGTTTGTGGATGACGCTGTGTTTGTGAACTGTGCACACACTCACTTCCCTGGGGCAAGAGCTGGGCCATGGTACCATCAGTTCCTCTGCAGCTCCCAGTACCCTTCGCTCTTCCCAATCTCTCCCCTGCCCCCCCCCAGTACAGCCCTCATCTTAATTCAGGGCTGAGAGGGGTGAGGCCAGAGCTGGAGCACGGGCAGGAGGCTCCCAGCTGTCACGGATGCAAGGAAGGCTTGGCCTCACTGTCACTCTTCCTGATCCTCTGCTCCCTCTGGAGCCCCTCATTCCTGTACCCCACTCCGCCACCAGGTCTGTGATGAAGGACACTCAGAGGTCACAGGTGCCAGGGGAGGAGTATATGGGCCTGGCATAGCCTTAGGCAGCCCCTGCTCTTACACGGTCATCTGCCTCTGGTTGGGGGCAGGGGGCACTCTCCTGCCTGGAACAGCACCCAGGGCTTCCGTCCTGCTCCCCTCGCCAGTAACACACCCTGCATGTCTTCTCAGCAATAATCCTGTGTGCCCGTCCCCCTGCTACCCCATCCATCCTGCCACCCAGGTCTCCCTGTGCAACCCGGCTCATCTGGGCTCATGTTCCCTGTCCCTTATGCTGGGGCGCAGGCAAGAGATGTTGAGGATGCCATGGGGAGCAGAGGCAGTGGGTCAGGGTGGCCTTGGTTGCTCTGGCTGCATCCTGTTCGCCAGATGGTGGTAACAACCCCTGCATCCCTTCTCTGCCTAGCTGTGGTTGGAGCAGTGAGCGGTGAGCGAGGCCTGGGCCCCGGCACCCTGCTGCACAGGGCTCAGCTGCAGGGTAAAGGTCAGGAGAGTGGAAGTTCACAGTGGCTCCCACCATTCCTATCCCAGCATCCTCTGGAAACCACCACACAGGGCTATTGTACCCAGGGCTGCTCTTCCCCGTCTTGTGATCTCTCGCGATAACATCAGACATGGGAATAAAATATCACTTGTTTCCTAATGGTTCTGGGATGCTTTGCTTTCTGGTCAAAAGCTTGTTCGAGTGTCAGGATGAACTGTGGAACTTAAAGGGCCAAGCATGGTCCATTCTGGGCTAGAGGAGGAAGTGGAGTCTGGAGAGGGAGCCGAGCAGGTGCGTGTTTGTCCCTGTAGCTTGTGCAGACCCCCTCCCTCACTCCACCGACCTCTTTTCCGTCCCTATTTGCCCTTCCCACAGCTCTCCTGGTACCTCCCCAGTCACCTCTGTGGACAGGTGTACTCTGCGTCTTATAAAAGGGTATCACAGTGGCTGAGTGAGGGTTCAACAACCAGGAATAAAGGAACTGGCTGTTTTTGCTCAGGTCTAAGGCTTCAGGCAAAGGCTTGCTGAAGAAGGATGTGGTGGGTTATATGGGTTATGGTCAAAGTCAGACACTCCCTCCCCGGGAAAGCCTTCCTGGACCTAGAGCAATGAGTCCCTGTTGTCTTCTGGTCATACTTGGTCCCTGGCCTGGTCTTTGGAGTCACCAACAACATCTTCCCAAGAATGTTACTAAGAAATACATTGTATCATTTGTTTCTTATTTGAGAAGCCAAGGGACTGAGAGGAGGAGAGAAAGAAGGGGAAAGAGTTTCCATTGACTGGTTTATTCCGCCAGGACCCTCAATGGCCAGGGCTGGGCCAGGTCCAAACCCGGAGCTGGGAACTCAGCTTCACTTGGACCATTCACTGATACTTGGAACCAAAGCCAGGGACCAAACCCGGGTACTCTGGGTGTAAGGCACTCATGGCCTGACATTCCTCTCCCAACACACACCTCTTAATTTGGTTTAATGTGTGTGTGCGTAACACACGGGGCCCAAGCCCATCCATTTTCCCTGGCTGCCTTGGGACCTGCCTGGTGTCTTCTGCACGCCCACTCTCGCTTCTGTCCTGTCTCTGAGCCCTTGGCAAAGACTGAAATTTATAGCTGAGAGCAAGCACAACGTGTCAGCTCAGGACCCATGTGAGTTTAAAAACCTGTCTCTGGCCAGGGGCTGGCATGGGGCGTAGCAGGTAAATTGCAGCTCGTGACATCTGCATCTAATATTAGAGTGCCTGGTTCAAGTTCTGGCTGCTCCACTTCCGATGCAGCTTCACGCTAATGCGCCTGGGAGACAGTATTTAAGGCAGGTCCCTTAGATACTTAAGTCCCTGCCACCCTCGTGGGAATAAATCTGGGCTGTCTGGGCTGTTGGCTTTGACCTAGTTCAGCCCTGGCTATTGCAGACAGTTGGACAGTGAACCAGCAGGTGGGAGATCACTCTCTCCATCTGACCTTCTTTATTTCAAATAAAAATATTTGATTTGAATCCTGTGGTCACATGTAGACGTGACACATGAGCTGGTGACTGGTGCTCACGGGACCTGAGTGCGTCAGTGGACTGACAGGCTTGGCAGAGGCTCTGGGGGCATGACTGGACTGCAGGTTGCAAGCACACGGAAGTCTGTGGGTGCCTCTCCTAGATGTGACTGGAGCCAGACGGTAAGCCTGGCACGGTGCATTGGGCAGCTCTGGCCCTTGGGGTGATGATGTGACTGCCAGGACACACTCTGCCATCTCATCGCATACATGCAAAACCTTACACAGATTGTGATTTACTACTGATGGGCCAGACCCCACAGCTGGGGACCATCTCTCTCCACTGCCCTGGGGCGTACCATGCAGCCAGCCTATCATCTTCCTTCTGGGGTGGCTGGTGTCCCGAAGGAGGGCAGGGTGGTCCCAAGGCCCAGGTGACCCAACACAGGGCACAGCTGTTCTGACGAAGGGAAGGGTGGTCCCATGGCCCAGGTGACCCTACATAGGGCACTGACCAGCAAGACATGCTCCAGGCAGGCTCCTGGGCAGGAAACAGATAATATGATAGTGAAGTCACTATGGCCTGACATGGCTATGGAAAAGAGCCAGCCTGCCTTCTGACCCCCAGCCCCACCAAAAGTGCTGTGGCCCAGCTCCCTATAGGAAATCTATAGGTTACAGATTAGAACTTGGACAATGGTTCTGGGAAGAGAGTCAGAGTCTGAGCACCGGCAGCCAGGAGCTGTGAGGGTGAGGAGGATTTCAAGCCAAAGTTCATGCCAAGGTCGCCGTCACCGTCCCCCTCCCCTGTCCTCCCCGGGACTTAAGACGCATGGATTGGCTGGGCAGAGCCAGGGTAGGAAGGCTCACCATTTCTGTCTGATTCACCCCATCTTGTCCCTGGCTGTGCCACCCTGCTCTAGGTCCGCATCAAGAGAAAGAGATCAGGTGTGTTAGCCTGAGCTGGGGTGTGGGATACAGGGTGGGGGTGGGGCTTTGGTAATACCTGTCTCCAGGCCACAGGAGCCCCGCCCCCCTTGCCATTAGTGTGATTCATGGCTGTCACAGCCAAGCTGCAGGGGGCAGAATGAGCCAGCTCAAGCCACCTGTTTGTTGATTCTGCAGGGTCAGCCCCAGCCCCGTGGCTGGTTACACAATAATGGGGCACCTGCCCAGGCAGTGATGGCAGAGCAAGTGAGGCTGTGATCAGATGTCCCAAAGGACTAGGGATGGGGGTGCGCACGTGGTGGAGGGGGCCCTGCAGGGCTGTGAGAGCAGGTTTCTGCTCTGAGCCTCCTTACCTTGCTTCTCAGGTTAGGAGAGCCTGGGCAGGTCCCACCTGTCCACCCTTTTCTTCAGGTGGGCTGGGCCTCCTGCCACACAAACCTCAGTCTCCCCAGTGGCAAGGGGAAGGCCCCTTCTTCTCCCTGCAGGCTCAGAGGGGGCAGCCTGGCCACTTGTGCCTGGACTACCCCTGGTGCCCAAGCCTCTGTTTTTGTGCATGGCATGACCTCATCTTGGGAGCAGAGTTGCCCTCCTTCTGTGGGTCTGGGTGCAATTCCTGGCTTCTTGTTCCTAAAAATCTGCCTGACGGAGTTTTGGATACAGCAAGACAGAACTCAGGTGTAGCCAGAGCAGTGGCTGTCGGGAGTAGAGCCAGGTGCCACACTCACAGAATTTAGCAGACGACGTAGTCTGAGGCCTCATGGAGGCCAGAGAGAGCTTGGCGAGCTGCAAAGGACATGAATGGTTTTGCCAAACCACCTGTAAACCACTGGAGCCACATCAGAGAGGAGTAAGGGGTGGACTGCTCCTGGAGGGCTTCCTGGAGGTAGCGAACCTTGAGCTACTGATCAGAAATGAGGAGGTGTGTGGGTACCAGCAGAGGAACAGTCTCTACCTCTTCCAGCCCAGCCTGGGAGTTCTGAAAGAAGGCAAGAACGTATTCCTTCCCCAGGGACCATGAGAGAAGTGGGTGGGTGAAATGGGTTCGTCCTTGTCATCAGCTTGTGACCTTGACACTTGAATGGAGTACATTCCCCCTTGGCAGTTCCCAGGACCTCCATGCCCTGCACTCAGGCTGCCTGGAAGCCAGCACCAAAGAATGGATCCCCTGGGTCCACCCCCTCTCAGTCCTGCCTTATAAGACCCCACCTGACATCTGGAGCCGCAGCAGCAGTGGGAGCCAGTGCTCCTGGGGATCCAAGACCTGTGGTTGGCACGGATGGGGTCCTGGAGGAGCTGCCACCTTCCCCACACCATGCCCACAGGGCCAGACACTGAAGGCTGGTTCTGAGCGCCATCTGGGAGTTTCTGACTTCTGCCGGGTTGAAGCCCCGTTCAGCTGCCAGCCAGAAGGAGCTGATTTGATGCCTGGAGTTCAAGACCATGGACTCTGACATACAGCCCCAAAGAGGACTGGGGTGGGTTTGGGAAACTCCATCCTGGGATGCTGGGGTACAACTTCTGCTCTGTGAGAGCTAAAGGGGCGAGGGTGTCCCACCCAGCCCATCAACCACTTTAGCAACTCAGTAGGTCCCATCATGGCTTGCTGTCCTGAGCTTTTAGAACTGGGGACAAATGGAGGGCGGCTCTCCCTATCCCAGCAATCCAGCAGTGACCACCTCAGCCTGCTGCCAGAAAGCTGGCCTGGGGACACCTTGGCAGGGCGGCCAAGGGCACTGTCCTTTGGGATGGCCACTGACATGGAGGGATGACACAGGGCCCCAAGGCTTGGCAGGGGCAGAAGACAGCTGATACCTTCTCTATACAGACAAGGGGTCTTGGGTCAGAGGGTATTTCCTGGCCCTCCCCCAGCCTTTCTGGAACAGCATAGAGGGATTCTCACTGCTGCCCAGCTCCACGTGGCAGGGAAGACGAAGAACAGGATCCCGAGCCAGGGGTATACCAGGAGGGGAATGTGTCACTTGGCTCTGTCCAGGGAGGAAAGAGTGGTGGTGGTGGCACAGGCCAAGGGTCCTGGAGGGTTCTGGCAGGTCCTAGGGGTCCCAGAGGCAAGACCCTGTCTGGAGCCTGCCATCAAGAGAGCCCCTGCAGAAGCTTGAGCCAAGAGCAGAGATGCTTGCCGGAGTTCCCCTCCCCCACCCTGGGGGGGTTGCAGTGGGGGCTGGTTCAGGCCGAGGGGAACAAAGCTGCCACTCATGAAGACCTCGGTGAGCGAGAGCCATCGTTGACGCGGTTCCTGCAGCAAGCCTGCAAGGTAGGTGTGAGCATCTGTGCGGCAGACAGAAGGAGAGGCACACTGCGGGGGGCGGGGCACAAGTCCGACTCAGGTCAAAGCAGCTTCTTCCATCCAGGAGGTCTAGCCCTCCCCAGGAGGAGAAATTTGGGAGCTGTCCCCAGGAAACATGGTGGCCACAAGAGGATGGGGCCGAGGCCTCTTGGAAAGGATAGGGCTGGGAATGGAGCCCGGGCAAAGGCGAAAGAATCTGGGCTTGCTGGCCACCTGCTGCCCCTCCCAGAGACCAACCGCAAGTCAGTGCCAGGGGCAGGGCAGGACAGAGGCCAGCATGAGAGGTCAGCCTTGGGCCCCAGTAGCTACTACTAAACAGAACTGGGGTCCTCAATGTCTGCCTCAGGTGCTGCCACCTTTCAGACACTCTTGCCCTCTTGGAGCTTAAAATGTAGTTGGGTTGCAGACAGACGAGAGAAGGACAGTCTCAAAGCTATTGGGGAGTGTTGAGAGCTGCAGAGCAGACGGCCTCAAGAGGGGCTTGGCTGTGGTGCTTCCTGTGGAGCATTCAAGACAATGGGCATCAACTGGGTCCTGAGGCAGGAATGTGCCCTGTAGGGTCCCAGAGACCAGCGAGGCTGCCATGGAAGCATGGGGTGGGGGGTCCCGAGAGGTCACCAGAGGCCGGGTGCAAAAGGTCTTGCAGGTGGTAAAAGGACCTCGGCTCCTCCTTGGAGCCTTTGGAGTGCTTTGAGCAGGAGTCTGACCCATCTGGTCATGACCCTGAGTCTGACCCTGTGTCCTCCAGGGTCTCAGGTCAGGGTGGAGACACTGTCCTTCACAGTGTGAAGGCTGTGTGTGTGTGATTGTGAGAATATGTATATAGGAGAAAGTTTGTGTGCACGAGCGTGTGTGAGAGTGCATGTGTGTATGTGTAAGAGGTATGCATCTACTTGTGAGTGTGTATGAGAAAGTGTAAGTGTGTGTATGGACTGTGCATGTGAGCGTGTATGTGTGAATATGTGAGTAGTGTGTATCTATGTGAACGCATACGAGAAAGTGAGAGTATGTGTGACACGTGTGAGTGTGTATAGGCGGAAGTGCTTTGTGTATATCTGAGTATGTGAGTGTGTATCTGATTGCATGTGAGTGTGTATGTGTTTGTGCAAGTCTGTGGCCGGGGAGTCCGGCTGAGCTCATCACCTGCCTGGACCCCTAATCACGCGCCTGGGCCAGGTCACCTTTAAAGTCCCTCCCTGCCCTGGGGTTTGTGCACCTGTCAAAGTGCCTGGCTTGGGAATTTCCGCTCTGTGGCTCTGAGCCGTCTCAGCAGGCAGCTTTCCACCACGAACATGTGACAGGGGCCACCATGCAGGCTGGCCCCTGCCTGCCTCTCCAGGCAGTGGGGGAAAGCATAGGAATCAGGGCTGTGGGCTCAGGCCTCAGCCCACCCAGGCAGCCCCCTCTGGAACTGCAGACATCTATTTTCAGCATTTTTAAAGCTCCCTGAAGGAAGACATGGCTACAGAGGGACAGAAAGGGGGACTTGTCAGAAAGACTAGGGCCTGAGGCCAGAGCCAGCATCCCTCTCAATGCTACTGCTCAGTGGCCATGTCAGGGAGACCCTGAGGGAGATCTCAGATCCCAGACCTGCTGCACAACATGACACTTGACCTTGCTTGGGCTGGTCACAGGCCTCAGTGACCCAGGAGCAAAGCCTGCTGTGCCACTCTGAGGCTGGCCCCAGCCTCCTTCCCTGCTCTGGGGTGGGGAAACAGGCTGTCTCCCGGCCATTCCCCAACCAGGCTGGGAGACAGCAGCACCCCCTCCAGGCCTGCTGAGACTGCGTGCATCTCCGTCTCAGTCCTCTGAGCTACAGCAGCAGCAGTGGGTCTGACATCACAGCCTGTGCAAGTCTCAGCTGGAGGCTAGCCCCAGTTCCAGTGCTTCAGTTGCTCCCCGTCCCTCCGGAACTTCAGGCCCCAAGGGCAGGCTCCCCAAAACCAGTCGCACCCGCAGAGGCTGCCACCACTCTTCCCAGTCTCAGCGGACCCCTGGCTACAGAAGGTGGCACATCAGGGCACAGGACGAAGGGACCTGCAGGATGTCTGCTCCCTGAGTAAAGGCTCAAGGAGCCCCACCCCCCAGATGCCCTTGACCATCTCCCTCAACTGCCAGATCTTGGCAGGGGGTGGGGGTGCTGGAGGAAAGAAGGGACTCTGATTTCGCTGACTCCAGCCCTGACCAGTGTGCTCCTGGCTCCTGGCAACTGTTTTGTGCACCTTGGCTGCCTGCAGGGTACTGGCTGCCACTGTGAGCCCCTGACAGCTGTAGAGCCAAAGTGAGGGCTTATTAGAGCTGCACCCCCTTCCTTGGATGCAGGTGGAGGTCAGCCACCCTCCCCCTCCCTCTAGGCAACTCTCACGTGGCTCCCTTGCCCCAACCCATCCCAGCAGCGGGCGGGCGGGCGGGCACGAGTGAGGGCTTCCTTCCTGCCCCTCCCCTCAGCCTCCTGGCTCTGGGCTCAGCCAAGGTGTGCAGACAGGCCGTGCCATTCTGCGCATCCAGGCCCTGAGTGACAGACACCTCTCTCACACCCTAAGACACTGCCAGCAGCTCCTGCCATGGACAAGTGGTACCTGGGTGAGTCCCCCGAGGCCTGCCCCACCTGCCTTCTCAGCCACTGGCCCAGGTGTGTTCCTTCCTCCCCCCACCCCAACTTTCCAGTGCGCCCAGCAGAGAAGCAGCAGGGGCTCTCGGGGCATGCAGCTCTGAGCACAGGCCCCCGACTGTCTCGTCTGCCATCTGTCTGTCTCTCTGGGCAGCCTGGCACCTGCAGGAACTCTGAAGGCAGACCCTGGCTGCAGGTCTGGCTCAGCCATTTGACCTCTCTATGAAGGAGGGATTTTGTTTCCCATGAAGTGGGGGCCCCTTGCTTCGCAGAGCTGAGGGCATAACGAAAGACTCTACTTGCTGCAGCACCGGGCACATGATGGTACATGATCCAGCTGCCAGCCAGCTGTGAACCATTCATCACCTAGCTCTCCATCATCTATTGGCTATCTACCTATGGAACGTCTGTATTGATCACATAGCTAGCATCTTTTTCTTAGCTACCATTGTCACCATCATCCAGCCATATGTACCGTCTGTCCATCTGTGTCTATCAGCTATTGGCTGTATCGATCTACTGCACCATCTGTATTGATCAGGCAGCTATCATCTATTTCACTATCATGTAGCATCCTCTTATATCCATCTCTATTATCATCCAGCTAACTATACTTATTATCACTCCATCATCTGCCAGTCCTCCTTCTCTATTCATCTGTGTCTCTCTTCTCTCAATCTGTCCCGCACCTCTCACTGTCCCTTTCTCTGTCCACACCTGCTGTCTCGCTTCCCACCTGTTTCCCTCCCTTGTCATCGGGGAGCCCCCCCATGGTGGCCCAGGGGACAGGGTGCACTGAGACAGGGAGGTGATACGTAACAGCAGCTCCGATGACAGCGGGTGGAGCTGCATGGCGCTGGCAGAGCTGAGCCTTCTAGCTCTGATTTTACTTCCAACCCTGTGTCCCTAAGCGCGTACCTCAGCCTCACGCCTTTGCTTCTCTGGTTTGCCCAGGGTCACAGGGCACTTCTCCAGGGGCCGCTGCCGGCCACCAGAGACCAGCCTCTGCTTCCTGACCTGAAAATGACCCCGTGGGGTTGGCCATGGGGCAGCACCCAACAGCAGGTGCACCACAACATCAACTGCAGGGTGGGATTTTCATGGTTGTACAGGGGGCTTCCAAAGGATCATGGAAAAACATGGAACCCAAAGATGGTGTGATTTTTCCATGTGCCTTTTGAGGCCTCTTTGGGCTACTGGTCACTTGGCCCTGGGACAGGAGCTGCAGTGAGGACAGTCCCTGGTGTTAGGGTCAGGACACCTTTCCCTGTCTTGCTCACTCACTCCTCCCAGGTAGTACTGTGCCCATTTCACAGATGAGGGGACCGAGGCACACAACACTTCAGCCAGTGGAGGAGCCAGGGTGTGGCCTCAGGGGTGGATCCCCTGGGGATTCCTGGAGATGGCATTTCCCCCCAGAAGGAGCAAGCTGCCCTGAATGGCCACCAGCCGCTGGCTTTGACTCTTCGTTTCCCACCAGTGTGTGTGTGAGAGTCTCTTTGGGAGAGCTGGGCAAGGATGTTACAGGGCTCCCTGAGACCCAGGTAGTGGGAAATAGCCAAGGGGTGGGGGTGAGGAAGGGTCCCTGACTTTCAAAGCCCCAGACTAGACTGTCGGGCTGTACCTGCTTCTCACGGTCTGTGTAACCTCGGGCAAGGTGCCCAACCTCTCTGGGCCGCTGATGCTTCTTCTGTAAAATGTAAAAGTCACACAAAGCTCAAGATGGTGGCAGCCGGGAGAGTGCTTGATTAGCCAGCAGAGCGAGAGCTTCCTTCTCCTGAGGGTGATGGTGGGAGGAGGGGGAGGACTGATTCCTATGGACCCCCACAGGAAAGCACCGAGTGCCAGGTAAGCCATTCTGGCGACCAGGTCCTGTCCACAGGGTTGAGGGGTGGTGGTAAGTGGGCGTTGTGGTGGCTGGGGGTCTCCGTGCGATCCCTGCCTTTGCCCTGAGAGCTCCCGAAGTCAGCTGAGACCTGCACTCCCCCAGCCCCACAACTGGCTTCCACAGCTGGCCAGGTGACCTCTGCTGATCCATCCCAGGCCCTTCAGCCCTTTAGCCCTTCAACCCTTCGCTCTGGATGTTTCCTCTGGGAGGGCTTGGGACCCCAGCCAGCCCCTCCCACCCCTCGCACCTCCGCCTGCCTCAGCAGGAGCCCCTCTGTTCACGCTGCAGCCTTTCTTGTGACCAGGGTAAAAATTACCTGGCACTGTTAATGTTTAATGTCCGCACCTCATCCCAGGCCACCCGCGGCAGACACTTGCCCCGAGGCAGGCCGAGGCGGTGGGAAGCTGGCAGAGGAGTCCCCGTTGGGCTGGGGAAATGCCAGAGTTGCAGGCTGCTGCTGTGGGTGAGTGTGTGCCCGCCTGTGCTAATGGGGTCCCCTCTCACGCCTGCCATCCCCGAGCAGGTCTGCGTGCAAGGCATTGAGCACACATGGCACAATGGGGTGGGGGAGAGCGGACAGGAGGTGTAAGCTGGTGAGCATTACCTGTTGCTTTACCAGGCCTTGTCAGAATTTCCAACCAGAAGCAAGAGGAGGACGCGGGTCCTGGCTAGGGCAGAAGGAGGGCAGCTGTCCCAGCCTGGCCCCCACCCTCTGACCCATGTCCAGAGCACATTCCCTAAAGGCAGCCTGTGATGGGAAAGGACTCAGGTCTGTGGCTAAGGGGCACCTGCTGACTGCATGGGGAGAGGGTGTCAGCTGAACTAGAAAAGGGGAAGGCCTGGTGTGGGGGAAGGACTCTTCAAGTGGCTCCAGTATGGGAGGGACATCCTAGTGTGAGCTCCCCGTGTGACCTTGAACCTTAATCTGAATCTGACTTTGCAAGGTTCTTGTGGGGGAAAGAGTGCCCCTCAAGCGTGGCCTGTGCACCTGCTCCTGTTGAACTACTGGGCATCAGGCCCCAGGGGGAGTGGGCACTGACCCTCTGCTGACCTGGAGATAGGCCACCGGAGACACGGTCCTGCATAGCCTGGGAGGTACCTACCTTCACACCCCCACAGCCTCAGGCCTGGTGCCCTGTGCCAAGAAGGGCATCTGGCAGGCAGGCAGGGTGGGAAGTCCTCCATTGTCCCAGGGCAGGTTGACACCTTGCAGGGTGTAGGACAGACCTGGGACATCTGCCGGCTCCTGGGCAGCTCCAAGGTAGTGTCAGGGAGGCCTGCTAGGCCATGTCAGGGCTGGCCGGGCAGCTTTACTTCCAGAAGTTTCTTTCCTGCCTGCCTGCCAACTCTGAGATGACCTAGCTTAAGCACCTGGATTCTTGGCTAGCTAGCCCAGCCCCACCACTTGCTCACTCTGTGACTGTGAACGAATCACGTCCTCTCTTTGTGCCTCCATTCTCCTAACAGGGATGCCCCCTGGTGCTTAACTGGGAGGCCAGGACCCCCGCGGGTGGTGCGTGAGTGTGGCGATGCAGGCAGCAGCGCTCATGCTCACTGTGAACTTGACCCAGGGTCCCATCCTGCCTCCCGCTTCCACAGGGGTTTGGTTAAGCTCCCAGAGTGGGCCTCCCTTTCCTCCTGCTGCTCTGTGAACTTTAAGGTTCTGCTTCATTGGTTCACTGGCTAATGTTTGCACAGCATCCTGTAGCTACCTCCTGAGACAGAGGTAGGCGGCATCTCGACTGACCACCCACGAAGTAAGGAACAGGAAAGCGCCCACCCCTCCCCCACACAGCACGGGCACCTGCTGCAGACAGGGCTGAAGCAGCCTGGCACAGAGGTGCCCCACAGGCAGGGCACACACATACTCCCCTGCCTCGCCTGCCACGAGCTTCCCTGCGCCCTCCAGATCCCTAGGCCAAGAGGAGAGGGGAGGGACAGGGAATCTCCATCGTTCCCAGAGCTGCTCCACTGTCCTCGAGCCCCCGCCCCCTCCTTCAGCCCACCTCTGGCGCTCTCCGCAGGTGGCAGCTCCAAGGATGGCGTGGACCCATTCTACTACGGTGAGCCGGGGGATCCTTCCCAGTCTCCCTGTGTCTGTGCTCTGAGCCCTTTTGTCCCCCTCCCTGCCCTGGGGCCGCTGTGAGTGTGTGGGCGTGTGGGTGGCCAAGGGAGATGTCCGCCCATGCCACTTGTTCCTGCCCTCTCTGCCCAGATTATGAGACCGTCCGGAAGGGGGGTCTGATCTTCGCTGGCCTGGCCTTCGTCGTGGGGCTCATTATCATCCTCAGTGAGTGGGGATTGCTCACGGTGCAAGGAGGGTTGCGGGATGGAGTCATGTCTCTCCCCAGGTTCCCCAAGCGAGACTCAAGCCCCTTCACCAAGCGGCAGTAGGAGGCCAGGCTGCCTGCACCTTGGGCCGCAGAACCAGGAGCGCGCCCACTCGTGCACACAGGAGGAGCTGCCGAAATAGAAGGGCCGGCTTCCCCCCACTCCTCCCCTCATCCTGGGAGGCCGTGCAGCAGTGAGCAGCGGCACCTGCTGTGACCTGAACCACTTCTTAGTGCATTCAGGTCCTGGGCCATATGAGGGAGGCCCCCCGCTGTTTCAGGACCTCCCCTGGAAGAGGGGCAGCAAAGGGCCCTGCGCTCCACAGCCAGGGGTCGCAAACTCCCTGGATCTGTTTGCTTACCTGCTGAGATGGGTTGACCCTATCTGCCAGAGACACTAGCGGTCAGGTAGGATCCTGGGCCCTAGTCCCAGCAGGCAAGCACAGTAAACACTTCTTGGTGTGTTTGAGTGCAACCCGAGACGGACACGCGGAAACACCACCAGAGGCAAGAAGACGCTTTCTGCAGCGCGCATGTGTTCTTGCGTACTGGAAGCCCTAACGCGGGTCTGGGCACTGTCACTCCCACACGGTATGGCAGGCGGACCTGCCTGAGCAGGGCGCAGAGGGGACTTCTTGCCACGTTTCTGTAAGTGTCACGGAGTTGCATGCCCGGCGCTGTGTTGGGGGCACTGCGGTGACCCCTTACCCCTGCCACCACGTCTGGCAGCGCCCACCCTGGCAGGTGCCTGTGGAGCCTCTGTAGTAAGCCCTTGTTGCTGGCGAAGAGCCCTGGGTTCTTCCTTGCTCCCTGGCCAGCTTTACATCAAGGATCTCCCAGCCCCAAGCCAGGAGGAGAGGAGGCTGAGGAGCCAAGTCCTCAGAAAGTCCATATACACGAATCCCTTTTTCTCCTTTCAAGGCAAAAGATTCCGCTGTGGGGGGAATAAGAAACGCAGGTGAGCGCGGCCTTCGTGGGGTGAGCCAGGGCTGGGTGTGGGGTGAGGATTTTGTCCTTGTGGCTGGGGAGGGGTGGAGGCCAGCCCCTCCCACTGACCCCCCTCCTGTCCTTGTTCCTCCCCATCCCAGACAAGTTGGTGAAGATGAACTGTGACCAAGGTGCGTGGCGTGGGGGGACAGATGGGAACTGAGTGGGGGTGGGTTCAGCCCTCCCCCATGACGGGTCAGGTGGTCGGCCACCCACTGTGGGCTTTCTGTCGTGGGCTGCAGGGGTGGAAGGGCCCAAGATCCCAGCGTTGGTTGACCCTTAACTTCCAGCCCCATTCCTGCCTTCGTTTTTGCAGAGTCAGCCCTGGATGCCCAATGGAAGCGGAGGATCTCCAAGTTGTCCCGGGGCTGGGGATCCCTTGTCCTGTCACTGCCAGCACCTGGGCTGAAGGTGGAGCCAGGTTCACTGTGAACCCCGAGGAGTGCAGGGGTGGGGGCACTACTTCCTGCCCATGCCACTCTTGCCCCCAATAAAACCAGCCCCTGCCTTGGCCTTGTCTCCAAGATGAGCACAAACACAGATGGGTCTAACCTTAGGTTTCCAGTAACTGCTCCGCCACCTGCGTATCTGACAGCAAGAAACCTGAATCGACAGGAGTCTGGGGACGGAGAGCTGGGGCTCTCCTGAGACTTCAGCCACCAACTTGTAGCCATTTGTGGCCACATCCTAAGGCTCTGCCATTTCCCCAAGCACACCAGGGTGGGGAGAGCCCAAGGCATGGGGCTGAATCAGGCTTTCCCTGCCACCCTGATCCTTGTGCAAGGTTTAGGACACTCCTTCCTCACCTTTGGGCTCCCATGACCCCAGCTGAACCTGTACCTGCCCACTTACTTGGATGCTCCTGAGTTAAGCCTTGGCACTAGATGCCCAGGAATGGACAAGGAGAGGGGCGCCTTGTTCCCATGTACTCCAGGCCTCGGCCTCTGTCCGTTTAGGCAGGGAACCCCCCCGAGCCGCCCTCTTTCCAGCTAGCAGGTGGTGTGTGCCTCAGAGTGGCCAGCTGCTTTTATCTCCTTCTCTGCTCCGGGCCCGTGGAAGGTGGGGCACTGGAGCCACCTGGCGTTGCTCCCTAGGTCTGCAAGGAGTTCCACTTGATGGAGCAAGTGGACCAGCGCTCCTCCCTGGAGTTAAGCTCTTTGCCTTAGCCCCCCCGGGTTTTAAGCCCAGCAACCCTCAGAGGTCTTGGCAGGCAAGACCTTCATTCACAGGGAGGCTGAGGGCCCCAGGAGTCAGGAACACTTGCTTAGGTGAGAGCCTGTGTCCAAGCCAGAACTGGGAGCCTGGGGGACTCCTCCCGACACCCAGGAGCAGGAGAGGGGAGACGGACTTCCTGAAAACCCCACCTGGACACCTCAAGAGGAGTGAAGCAAAGAAAGAGAAACTAGGGCTGGGGAGGCAGAAGCCACACAGGGCAGGCAGCGTGCAGGTGATGCCTGCTTTGAAGAGCTCCTTCCTACAGACAGGTTGTAACTAGCTGATCCCTAAGCAGGGTTCGGATGTGTCTGTCCAAGAGGCAGGTGCGCACCAGGCTGGGAGGAATGGCTGGGCATTCCAACCAGGGGCACTTTTGGAGGAGGAGGTGGATTCCCATAGCAGAAGGAGGTGTCACGGCAGGTCAGTGGCCCAAGTGGGGAGACATGAGACAGCCTTCCTAGAATGTTCTGTTCATTGCCCACACAGCCTCCTGCGTTCAGAGGAAATTCCAGGGGGCTATGGAGGGGAACCTGTCCTGTGTGAGTCATTTCCCCTGGCTCACTCGGCCACCAGCCCCCTTCCTGGACAAACACGAGACTGTATCGGGTCCTATTTAAACTGCCAGATGCCCAGGAACCTCTCCAGGCGTGTTGGAGAGGCCCCTTGGAGTGGGGTTCATGTAAGACAAAGCCCTACAAGCCCCAGGGGGCCCACCTGGGGACAAATAGGACGGACGAAGGTGTGACTGACTGCCTTGGACAGGAATGGTTCCTGGACAGGAATGGTTCCCCTTCTCCCTCCAGGAAGGTCACATGGACTAGCAGTTGCTGAACTTTCACTTCTCTCCGGAATTTTCCACAGTGCAGCCCGCACTGAGTCACACTGGGACGTGATTAGGGGGATTGTTCTTAGGAACACCGGAGTGACGAAAGCAGCCCAGACCTGAGGATGCAGGTCCCCATACGACCACCAGAGGGAGCATGCGGCGCACGCCAATTCTTTTCCACCGGGAGTTGGCAGTCCAGCCGCGGCAGCCTTGGCTGCGGGGAAAGCGAGTCCAGGCAGTCTGGCCGGGGCTCTGGACTGTCTTCCCCACGCCCCGAGTTCCCAGAACTGCCATGAGTCTAGCTCCTGATCACCAAATCACAAAGTCCTCACGACACCCAAAGACAGGAAGGTGTAGGCTGGGACCCCTGTGCGTGCTGAGTCACCTGCTGCCTGTGCCACCCAGCCTGTAGCCAGCTGCAGGAAGGCCAAGAAGCAGCTGGGGAAGGTAGGTGCTGGCTGGCCCGAGGCAGGACTGGATCAGCACTGACTCTGCCCAGAGTGAGTGTGTACCTGCCAGGCTCTCCACTTTCCTTAAGTACCCTACCCGTACCCCAGCGATCCTAAACTCTGTCCAACTGCGTAGAGGGGCAACCCAGAGAGCTCACCCAGGGACCTGTTCTGGGGGTTCCTCCAGTGAAGACACTGAGCTCACTGACAGACAGCTGTGGGGGTGGAGAGGGCGAGTGGGAGGTGTTGGGCTCCAGGGGGGACCAGGCTCTGTCATTGCCCACAGCACGGCTGCTCAGAGGCCTGACAGTGGAGCCCTGACCTGAGTCCTGAACTGAGGGGCTCTGAGCTAGCTCACCTGCTCCTCCCTGGAGGCGCCCACTCATCAGAGGGCTGACAAACATCTAGCCAGGAGAGAGAGAACTGTGGCCAAAGGCTCAGCAGCTCTGTTCTGTCACCGCAGTAAATCACTGCCTATCAGGGAAGACAGGTCAGGCCTGGGATTTCCATCAAGGTCAAGGCTGTTGGGGGGACAGTGCAGGCCCCAAGGGAGGTGCCCAAGTGCCCCAGGTTGGGAAGAACTCCACAGCTCAGATTCTGAGCCCCCTCCCGGGTCTGGGGCAGGAGTCTCCAGCCTGGGGACACAGTATGTGGTCTGCAGGTGCAGGAGCGGGGTGCAGGGGCAAGAGTCGACTTGCAGCTTTGAAGCGTGAACTGCAGCAGAAGCTGGGGGCCTGGGTCTCCCAGGGTGTGCCCGGGAAGCACTGGAAGGAGCTGCATTTGCTGGAGCTGGACTCAAGCCCTGACTCAGTAGGCTGCTCTTCTGGGATTGCTAAGACCTCAGGTGACTCCCACCACCCCACTCCAGGAGGCCTGCTTTTAAAGAAATTCTCACCGTGGTGTCCCTAGATGGGGTCTCAGATGTCACAGGTGTCAGGTGTCAAGGGTGAGAACGGCAGGAGGCCAGCGGAAAGAGAACCCCAGGACATCCACCTGCAGCTCTGCACGCTGGGCTGACTCCTCCAGCAGTTTTGCCCTGGGCCTGCTCTGCGACCTAGGACTCTGGTCAGTCTCTGGACTTGGGCTTCAGGACAGGCCAACGTGAAAGCAGAAGTTGCAAACTTCAGCTTAAAAGCGAAGGGGCTGTGACTTTCAAGGCGAGGGGCAGAGGTAAGCAGGGAGGCCACAGCCTGACCCCAGGAGCACTGTCCTCCAGTAGAGCTGAGTGTACGCACTCACGCGTGCCCTCCAGCACACACAGGCTGCAAAGGCAGACAGAAAGGCACACTTGAACTTGACAAAGCACAGGACGCTTTGGCTGGGAGCCAGGAGCATGAAGCATTCTCTCCCGGTCTTTGTTTCCTGAAAGGGCTATCAATCAGTCACGTGCCCAGTGCCTGGGGGAGCCCAGCGGCCTCTGCTCCGAAGCGTGTACCATCTTAGGTTCATGTCCCTGGACGGAACGCTCTTGGTGCAGGTAGTAAAGCACTCGGGAACCAGGGGACAGACGCTCTCCCTCTGTCTGTGTTTTACTGTTGCTCTGCCTTTCAAATGTAAATAATTACAAAGTAAAAAAAAGTCATTGGGGTGGCACAGTGGTGTATCAGGCTAGTCCTCCACCTGTGGCATCACTAGGGCGCTGAGAATGGCTCAAGTCCTCAGGTCGTGCACCCTCATGGGACCAGCCAGCTGACCAGCCCAGCACTGCCCATTGTGGCTGTTTAGGGAATGAACCGTTCGAATGGAAGAATTCAGTGTGTACATGTGTGTGTCTTCCTCTCTCTGTAACTGACTATCAAGTAAATCAAAAATTAAAACCAAAATTCATGCAGGAACGGGCTAGAACCCTCAGATGCCCATCCGGGCAGGTCCAGACTCTGCTGTCCCACCCTCTCCGGCACCCTGGGGTGTCACTGCCTGCTAGTGGCCTGCTGGCAGGGTTGCACCTACTGTTCACCAGCTCCACCCCCAGGCCCCAGTGCCTTGCCTGGTTCCCACAGGCAGCCTGACTGCCCAGGGGAAGGACCACGCAAATGAGGACAACCAGCACCTGTGCTGGCTTGGCATTGCCACCCCCAGCAGCCCTGCTTCTTCACCCAGCAGACCTGGAACTGCTGTCCACTGTCCTAGGAGGTGCCCTTAAAAGGGTCAGAGTTGGCCTCCCTGCATCTGCATGGGCCCCTGAGCACGGCTCTGTTTTCTGGATTGTGTGTCCAGCGCGGCCACCTTGGGCAGGTGGCTGGGCTTGAGTAATGTGTGTCAACTGGAGCTGTCATGTCTCCCTGGCTGCCATGGTCAAGATCATGGGTCTAGGACTCAGTGGTCTTAGGGTTTAACATGGACATGGTCACCCAGGGCAGGGTCCTTCTGGGCCTCAGCTTCCCCAATTTCCAGTGTGTGAAGGTTTCCTCCCAGGGCATGGAGGCTGCCAGGGTCATGCCCTCCGAGGCCACCCCTACTCCAGAGCCCCACACCAGCCACGGATGTGCCCTTGCCCAGGTGCCTGCTGCCCCCACATCCCCTGCTGGCTCGGACACGGGCACCCATGTCCCCTGAGAGGAAGGGCTTGTGACCTCTGGCTGGGACCAGGGAGCTCTGGTGAAAGAGTTGTTAACGATGGGTTTTCTGGGTGGTTGTGTGTGCTCATGTGTGTACATGTGTATGAGTATGCGGGTGTATGCACTATGTGTCATGTACATGTGTGGGGGTGTGTTTCCATGTGGATATGTGCATGTGAGCAGGAAGGACTGAGCAGAAAGTGTGAGTGGAGTGGAGACCTGGGCAATGGGCTCCAGCCAGCCTGGCTGCGCTCAGCATGAGAGGCCCAGTTCACCTGCCACAGGTTCCCCAAGGTCGCCAGAGGCACAGGCTGGGGCAGGGAGGGAGGCCAGGCGTTGGCCACGCCTAGGGGACTG